TGTGGACTTTTTAGTTCCATTTTAAGATCTTTCTTACTTGAAGGCCTTCACACATGCTTCCTTTGGCCAGAATGTCTCCTGCCTACCCCTCTCCCCATCTTTACTCCTGGTTAATGCATTCATACTTTTTGTGTCTCAGCCGAAGTGTCACTTCCTCTAAGAGGTTTTCTTGACCCAAGATCCTGAATGTAAACTCCCACCAAGAGACACTGTCATATCACAATTTAAAATTTTATATTTGTTTCATATTTCCTCCACAAGTCTCCATGAGATCAAGAACTGTGTCTACCTTTTTTATGACTCTATATTTAGTAACTAGCCAGTGTCTAACAGTAAGTACAGTGGTACCTCGGTTTTCAGATGTAATTCGTTCCGGAAAGACTGTTCGAAAACCGAGGGATCAGCAGCCGACAGCTGGGCCTCAGGATCCTGCCCTCAGCGCAAGCCGTGTGGCCTGTTCGATTTCCGAGGTGTGTTCGAGAACCGAAGCATTTCCTTCCGGGTTTACAGCGTTCGCAAACCGAAATGTTCGTCAACGGAGACGTTTGAAAACCAAGGTACCACTGTATTTGTCAAATGAAAAAACTCCTGTCCTCTTGGTTCTACTTAACACTCACAGCCTGGCAAGACAGCCATGCTCTTTTTGTATCATACACAAACCTCTCTCTCAGTGACATGAAAAGATAGAGTCTTTGGAACTACACAGATCAGGCTCTTACACCTACTACCAAATCCACTGTGTGACTTTGGTCAAGTTGCTTAATCTCAGTTGCCTCACCAGGAAAATGGGTAAAAGGACATCTGTCTTTTAGTAATATTATGAAGATTAAAATGAGATTGTGTATATAAAGTACTCATGATTATAAAAGTATTCAAAAAAGTTCCCTTTCTTCCATGCCTCCCAATAAACTCCAAATACTTCTTACCCAATAGATACCCATACATACACAAAACTTTTGACAATGTGAGAACATCCATCCTGCCCTTCTCAGTCTTTCTGATGGCGGCCTTCCTACTGAGAGTTTTGCCTCTAGAGAATGAGACAGCCATGGAACAGAATTTATAACATTAAACCAAATATGTAACTGAAGCCCTCAATAACTGGAGTTTGTATTATAAAGGAACCTTCTCAAATATATTTGGAAGTAACACAAAGAGAAAGGCAGTGATATTTTTGATAGTGTAGAAGGCATTACTTTAAAAGAAAACACCAGATGGCAGCACCAGACACTAAAGAGGTATCCGAAGGGACTTTTAGTTCAAGCCTGATCATCTAGATGTCTTAAAACTATGTTGAGAGAGATAACCATTTATAGAAAAGATAGTTTCCCTAAAGACAAATAATGGCTACTTTGTAATATAGTAAAGGATTTTTAAGAAAGAGGTTTCACATGTTACAAGCATAATCCTAAGGAAATAACGCCAAGTATTGTCTAACCAATAAAAGATACTTAGACAAAGGCTTTATTTTGGCTTGTAGTTATATTTCATTAACTCTGTCAGTTTGTGTTCCAATTAGCTGGAAAGGGCCTAAAGCCAAAAAAATGAAATACTATTGGCTTCTAGAAAAGGAAAATATTTTTCCAAATATTTAATGCAAATATTAAAATTTATCCACTCACATTAAAATGAAGCAATACTGACCTCTGTTACTATACTCCTCAGCATCACTTAAGAAACTTGCTAAAACAGACATCAAAGGGTCTCACTAAAAAGATGCAATATTAAAATTCAAAATTATAATCTATGGTTTCCCATATTATGGATCAAAATTTCACCTGGGTTGCTTGGCTGGGCATTGCTCAGCAGTTGAGCATTGACCTAGGATCCAGGAGATGGTGGTTCGATTCCTGTAGGGGCACATGCCCGGGTTGGGGCCTCCATCCCCGGTCAGGGGCGTGCAGGAGGCAGCCGATCAATGGCTCTCTCTCATCATTGATGTTTCAACTCTCTTTTTCTCCCTTCCTCTCTCTGAAATCAATAAAGATGTAATAAATTTTTTTTTGCCTGGGATTAATACCACTATTAAAATCTTGCTAAATTGGGTATTGCTTATTCAGGCTTTCCTTAGAGGAAAGAAAGGCCGTTTAACGCAGCTGGTAACACCATATCATGGGAGAGCCATAAGCCCCGGAAAGTCACGCCTTCTAAATAAAAATCCACACTGAGGGCTTTATTCCTCTTACATGCTGCTTAGTATTCTTCACAACTTTCCTGTGAGATCAGGAGTGAATTCAACCCTATATTTTAAATGGGAAGCGACAGGACAACTCAAGCCTATCCAGTGGTTACAGAGCAGAGTGCAAAATGCCCGCCATGGTCTTGGAAGAAAACTTGCCTTAGTGGCATTTGTTTATGTTTAGAAATGACTGAAAGGTGACAGAAGCATCTGTGTCCTAAGAGAACTGAGCCAATCTATGTTGGAAGAACATTCTGAGCAGAAGGTAATTCATTCTGCCAGCGAAACAGTCATTGTTGCCCAACTGGAGTGAATTGTTTTCCAAGCACTGTGATCATGGTTCTGAAAATATTTTCCTCACCTGAATTCACTGCAAGACTGAGCCCGCTGAGAACATTGGGCAAGATCATTGATTCCAATCAGAAGTCAGATCAAGGATTCTAGAGGGAAATTGTTAGAATTGACAAGAGAAGGAATGAAGCAAACGTTTGAACTGTAAAAAGAATGCGTGTGCTTCATCATCAGCTGAATGTCACTCGTCATAGGCAGATGAAATTCTGAAATCTAATAGTGCATAGGGCAGTGCTCTTGGTGGAAAATATATGATTCACCGCACCATCTAAATTTTAAATGGTAACAGAAAAACAGCAACAGAGAGAATCAAATCGTAAACAAAAGAGTACCCAGGAGAGCCTTCCTGCTAAAAGCACCATTGCACGGCAAACATCTTTCTTAGCTAAGGAATAAAGTTCATCGCTTCAAGAATCTTACGTCTCGCTGAAGCCGAGGGTATTTCTCTACTGTAATTAAACCAAGCTTGCTTTAAATTTGGCAATGAAAGGGACCCTAAGTTAGATGACCTTTCTATGACCTCCTCTAAAGCCTGCATGGTCCCCAAACAGGCCAGCACACATCTGACAGCTGTGGGCGCCAGTTTCTCACTGACACATGCCTTTTCACGTCTGGGAGCAGAGTTGGCTGTGCTCTGACACAGCCATGTCCTCCAGATGCCCTTGTTCCGATGAACTCCCCCTATGCTAAATGCACGAGTCATGGAGGGCCATCGCAGACCTCTCCTTATGACATTCTCCCCTCCAGACGACTGCCTGAGTCAGGAGGTGTCTTCTTGTGAAGCCATGGGCCCAGGCCAGCCTCTTTTAGCAGTCGTGACTGAGTGAGAACATGCTGTGCTGCGCCTGTTGGCTCCGCTCTTGGGAGCACAAAGTATGTGTTATAACAACAAGCCCAAGAATCCTGACCACACGCTTCCCTATCTCAAGATCTGTAATGAGAACATTTGAAGTAAATGCATACAATCAGGGAGCAGGGCTGAAAGTCACACACTAACAGAGATTCTGACTGTGACCATGAGACACGATCCTTTTGCTCTTTGAATCCAGACCTCACATGTTTTGGAAGAAAAACAACAGCCAGAAGATGGGAAAAACAGATCATGTTTATGAGACCAGCCTGCAGTCCATGCCACACTTAAGAGTTTGGGTTTTCATTCAGCAAAGAAATCAACCATTCTTTCTTCAATGTTCATCGGAAAACTTACCCAGCCTCCATTAGTCTGACTCTTCAGCTTTAGGGCCATTGTCTTGAAATCTTCTAAACCAGCAAGTCCATAATGATTTCATTTTAAACATGGATGTTAGGGGAAAATACTAGACATTTGCCAAAAACAATGCAGTGAAAAAGTACGGAAGAAAAACTGGGTTAAAAATAAAAGATCCCCTCACATTCACACACTCCCTCTGATTTAATCCTTTACAATAGCTTAAGTAACCTTAGTTTCCCCAAAACAGTCCATTTAAAGAACCCTGCAGGTGGGCGTTTCGAGTAGTAAGTCATAGAATAAAAAGACTGACCACTTCCTAATTCTCATGATCTGACTTTCTGTATGGTGTGACACAGGACAGCACATCCACCCCCCTGGCTTAATGGTAGGACAAAGCCCATGGACCATACCCTGTTTTGCAGGTAGCCACCTTCATAAGCATCCCTCCCCAATCTTGGTTGATGAAGACCCAACAACACTTCACCATACAATTGGGAACCCCTGGGGCCATGCTTATTTACAATTGCCCAAGTGGCGAGTCAGGGTGTGGTGTCCAACCCCAACACAAGGTACAGACCAGCAGCAGGAACCCAGCACTTCCCAGAACCATGAACACACCCCTCGCTGCTTGGGCATCTATGCTGGGGTTAATTCCCCACATACTACAATCATGTAAGTGTTAACAGAAAACACACCGTGTTCGCAGAGCACATCTATTTCTGCAAGTTATCCAGTGTTTAATTATTTCTAAAGTCATTTGGGGTTTTTGACACAGATTCTATTTTAGTAAGATAAACTCAGCATAACCCAGCATTGCCAAGAATGAATTCCTAAGGTAGATGACTAAAATAAACTGGTAATAAATATTGGCTTTTGGAACTGGAATTATAGCTCTGTAATGTAGACATAGCATTAATGACTCATTTTCAAATAACAGTCTCTCCCAAGGATTATTGGTAGGAGGGGTCAGGGAAGAAAGAAGTCCGTCTCTCTCTCTCTCTGTTTTAGGCAACAGAATGCAACAGGACTATGAACCCACCAGGCAAGGATGTTCTCATGTCTACTTTGCCATCAGAGATACAGCCTCTGGAGTGACACAGGGGGTGAACTTGAACAGGCTGCATTGAGGCAGAAATAAGGCATCGAAAGAAACCACTCTAGGGGTTGAGGCAGTTGATTCTGGGTCCGTTTTCTCTCATCCCCCTGGAGACAGAATGCACTCCTGGGTCTGCCCAGTGCATCTCATGTGGCATGAATTACCTTGTCGGTCACGGTGGGTGCTGCCGTGTGCCTTTGCTGTTTGAAATTAGTGGATTCTTTTAGGCCACCTTTACTCCCAAAGGCCAAATTCTGAATGTGTGGCCCACTTGGTTGAGCTTTACAACTTCTCTGATGCACCAGAAGGCGGTCGGGGGCGAAGGTCCGGCTACAGTTGGGGCAGGGCACAGGCTGAGCTGGACTCGGCGCCTCTCCCGTTGTACGGGGCTGAGGCTTCTGTGGGAGGGGCCGACGGAGCTCCCTGGGGAGCTGGTCATTTTCTATTTTCCATTTTTCCAGGCACTTGGGCTCATGGATAGGAAGGGAGAGGGTGCCAAATTCCCTGCCACAAATGTAGCAGATGAGAGTCCTTGGTCGAGCTGGGATGGCACCAGAAGCTTTCCTGGGACTAGTAAGATTGTTGGAGCTGTTGGCGTTTGGTGCTGTGGGCCCCTCACCCTCTGGCTTACACCTTCTCTGGTGAACCAGGAGCCGGTCTGGCAAGAACATGCGGCCGCAGCACCCACAGGGCAGCAGCTGAGCCTGGGAGCCCTGGGGCGCCCCCTCATCGGCTGCCTGCAGAGGGCAGGACCCGAGGCCGCCGCCCACAGGCTGTGGCTTGCAGGGCTCTGGCCTCCTCAGGTGCCTGGGCAACTTGCTGTTTTCAATGCGCCACTTCGCCAAGCACTGAGGCTCATGAATGGCAAGTGACTGGGACCCAAATTCTCGGCCACAGATATAGCATATCTGGAACCCAGGCCTGCGGGACGGGATCACGGGGGGGCTGGGCTGGCTTTCAGACATCATTCTCTTACTGGACCGTTTGGAGAGTATCACAGTCCCAGGTCTATTTTTCTTAGTATTTGTCTTTGTTTTTTCACCAGGATCGACGTGCTCTGTTTCTGGCAAGAGGTTAGAATAGGAGTCACTAGGCAGAACGGCTTGGTTGATAAGGAAGGCAGGTTCTTTAGAACTGGGGAAAGTCTGTGGCAAGTTTTTGGAAACCCTTTTCTCCTTTCCTCTTTCCATTAACAAAGAAATCTTTCTCTAGCCCTTGCTCTGATTTGAGCCCAGATTCATCTGGGGCTTCTTAGCGCAGAGGTTAGTCAGGTGGGCTGTCCCGGGTTCCACATCATAGCCGGGACCTCCGACCTAAAGGCCAGGACTCAGAGCTTCAGGGCAGGGGGCAGTCTGCGGCACTGCGAGGTCCCCATCAAACCCCAGACACCTCCAAGATCTGTGGAGGAAACAAATCAAGAAGTTATTACACACACACACACACACACACACACATACACACACATCTGTTAGAAAGAAAGTTGATAAAGGGCAGTATTTTTTAAAAAGCTTGTATCTTCTTTGGCTAAAACAGCAACTAGGACATAGGATTTTTTCAGTGTTGAAATAAATTTGAAGAAAACTTCCATTATGAATTGCACTGTCACTGTATTAAAACTAGTATTTTGCCCAGAAAAATATCAACATTTACGGCATATCACAGACACATATGACACAAACCATCAGAGGCACGGTGATGAGATCATAGGCAGGAGAACCAAGAACTGTGAAAATTAGAGTAATGAAACTGCAGATCGTGTGAAAGACCTCCTCCCACTGCCTTAGGGAGTCTTAGCGTTATAGTGCCATGGATCCCTTTGACAGGTCTTTGAAGCCCAGGAATCTCTTTTCAGAATAACGATTTTAAAGCAAAAAATAAAATTCTTACTATTACAAGCGAAACTAATTGTATTGAAATAATTTATCAAATATTTTTGTTATATATATTTTATTTGAGATAGAGTAATATGCCAGGCTTCTTGAGTGTCTGAGGTTCTAAGGTTAAAAATTCCTACAGAGCCCGGCCGGGCGTGGCTCAGCAGTTGAGGGTCGACCTAGGATCCAGGCGATCAGGGTTCGATTCCTGGTCAGGGCACATGCCCGGGTTGCAGGCTTGATCAATGACTCTCTCATCATTGATGTTTCTATCGCTCTCTCTCCCTCTCCCTTCCTCTCTCTGAAATCAAAAAAGATATATATAAAAAAAAACAACTCCTACAGAAGAAGTAATTCAACAGTGAATATCATGAGAGTATTATGAAATATGAAAACTCTCACAGGGGGCGTAAATGTCTTAAAACCTACCAAGTGTCCACTATTTTTTTTTAATCCTCACATGAAGATATTTTTTCCATTGCTTTTCAGAGAGAGTGGAAGCGATAGAGGGAAAAAGAGAGAGATTGATGTGAGAGAGCCACATTGATTGGTTACTTCCCTTACGCACCCCGACCTGGGCCGGGGGATCGAGCCTGCAACCAAGGCACGTGCCCTGGGCTGGAATCGAACCTGGGACCCTGCAGTCCACAGGCTGACGTTCTAACCACTGAGCAAAACCAGCTAGGGCCAAGTGTCCACTTTTCTTATGGGAATTGAGTATTAATAAATTATGGCAACTCAGGCCCATACTCTTCCTGGTGGGATATGTGCAGATCTTCCCTGAGATAAAGCAGCTCACACTTTGATGGTCTTTTAATAGCTATTGTGCTCACTATCTTATTTTATATATTTCTATCTATCTATCTATCTATCTATCTATCTATCTATCTTCCAAAATATTTTTTTTATAAAAACATGGCCAATGGTCTTCCCAAACAAAGCAGAAAGGGCTGATAAGATCTCATTCTTTATGGGCAGGAGCCTAGGAGATTTTACCTTGGGGAAAGGCATGAGAAAATTTTACCCAGGACCTACAATCTAGCCCCAAGGAGGATTATTTCTCAGAAGTCTTAGGACCATCATTGCTTCCTGAAGGATGACCTGGACCTGGAGTAGAGACTTTGTAGCGTCCATTCCAGTCACAGACACTAGACCATGCCAGACACTTGAGTTCGGGCAGAGCAAGGATGGCAGTGCTAGTAACATCAAAATTCCGTTTGGGCTTTGTGCTCGATAAAGGACCGAAAGAGCTCTGAGATCTGTACCCAGTTCCTGTGTTTTAGTGCCAAGAAAGGTCTGAATCTTTGCAGTTAAGTCTATCGAATCAGGTCTGGCACAGAAAAGGAGGTTATTTTTCATTTTGACAGATCCTAAGACAGTGATATTAACACATGTGACAAAAGAATGTGCTGGCCCCAGCGTGGCCAGGCCAGAACATGAAGCTCAGAGAAACAAAATGCATCACTTGGTCAGCACCATCCAGAGGAGAAAGTGGATGCAGAGAACACAAGGGATCTGGTACAACTGTGTTATCAGCAAGTGTGTTAAATAATCCCCCAGACCACTCTGCTTTGTTGGTTTTTATTTCTTGCTCACCAAGGATCTCCTCTTTTAGTTTCCTGTCTTCCTTCAGACCAGGAATTTTCAGACACCAAAAGTAGTTAAGGTGGCCCTGGCCGGGTGGCTTAGTTGGTTAGAGCGTCATCCCGATATGCCAAGGTTGTGGGTTCGATCCCCCATCAGGGTGCATACAAGAATCAACCAATGAATGCATAAACAAGTGGAACAACAAATCGATCTCTCTCTCTCTCTCTCTCTCTCTCTCTCACACACACACACACACACACACACACACACACACACACACACACACTGTTCCCAGCAGATTAAAATACTGAGAAAGCCCCATGACTTGCCCCAACAACTCCTCCATTTCCTTTATGATAAGGTAAGAGAACTAATATTTATTGAATGCCAACTATGCATCAGATATCGTACTAATTTTTTAAAAAATATATATTGATTTCAGAGAGAGGAAGGGAGAGGGAGAGAGTTGAAATGTTAATGATGAGACTGTCGTCATTGATTCTCTCCCTCCTGCATGCCCCTGACTGGGGATCAAGCCTGCAACCTGGGCATGTGCCCTGACCGGGAATCGAACCCCGATCGCCTGGATCCTAGGTTGGCTCTCAATCGCTGAGCCATGCCCGGCCGGGCTGTACTAATTTTTTATATACATAATTTAATTCTCAAATGATTATGGGGCAGATATTATTATTTCAGTTTTATAAATGAGGAAACTGTGACTCAGAAAAGACAAATAACTTGCCCAAGACAGTCCACTTCTAAATGACAGAACTGGGACTCAGTTCCAGCTCTCTTTGGCCCCAGTACTCAGCCCTTCTCATTATTCATTCTGCCTAACATTCCACCAGCGGAGCTTCTTCTCTTTCATTTTTCTCCCTGTTTTAATGGAAGATTCATATCCTGTTTTAATGGAAGATTCATATGCCCCATGGGAAGGTGACTAAGTCCCCACCAGCATTTAAGAGAAGGAAGAGGCAAAGGAGAGGAGGGGAATGGGGCACAGCAGATGTGGCCCCTCTGCAATGGGAAAAGCAGGACAGACAGGTTGGGGCTACCGACGACAGTGTTTTTCCGTAAATGACAGGGATCATTTATTTTGCTGTACTTAGTTTTCCAGGTGAAGCTATTTTCCTGCACGGTGTGCAGTGCAGACCCTTTTCCTGATCTCACCAACGTCCTTAAGAAAGATCTACACTACTCACCAGGGGTGGGCATGGGTGAGGGGGCACTGGGTGGTACAATGGGTGCAGGGTGAACGTGAAGGCTGCCCAAAGAGACCAGAAGGTGCTCAGTTTGCAGCCACTTCAACATTTCGATGAGGAATGGATCTTTATGTCTGCAGGTGTGGGTGCACTGCAAATATTTTCTGTAAAGCAAACATAACAAGCATCCTAAAAATCCCAACTGAATCTTCATCTTTTCTTTTTCTACCCTCTCCTCCCTCCTCCAATGTCCTCCCACAATTTGTGTCTTATCGTGATGAAAGGCATCAAAATATTAGAGATAAGATAGCTGGAAGTGAGGGAAATTTTTGGAAACTGAAAAATTTATGAAGTTGCTGCCAGTGATTCTGACAAGGCAGGGTATGGTCAGCTGCTCTGGTCCATAAGTCAGTTCTAAAAGCAAAAATGCTGGAAAGTACTATAATGCATATACTTACATTACTTAAGAAATTGGCCTGTCACCCAGACACATTGTAAATAAATGTTGCTAGTTTATAAAGAGAACCACTTTGCAAAGCCAGCTAGCTTCACCCCAAGCGTCCACGGAGAAATGTTCACTCCAATTGGCCTGAATTATTCATTTTGACCATATTTGCACAGAAGAGATTTAAAGACTGTCTTGGAAGGCATCAAGTTTTATCAATATGATGCCATTTTTCCATGCCCTTTGGGGTTCATGGGAAGGGATAGACAAACTCACAAAGATGAATATAATAATCTTGGAAATGCAAAACCCATCTTGGCATTAGAAGGTGTTCCTCTATAAAAGAGGGGAAGGAACATAACCAAAGTGATTAAATCTTTAAACAAAAAATTTAGTCCTTTGGAACAAAATAAACATGTGATGCATGAACCCTTCCCTGTTAGTATAGAATCCAAATTCTTTAAATGGACAAATGAATAAATAAGAGAGATGGAGTTGGGGGCTAATGCTGGCTCTGAGCAAAATTGTAAAATAGAGGTGGCTTGTCTTTAATATCCTCTATCTACCCTGTTCGTCAGCAGTGTCTACTCTCCTCTGCCTACTGCCCTCATGTACTCTTCAGTCTTCCTTACCTATGAAATCTCTTTCAAAAAGGAGCTGACAGACCCATTCACATCAAGGCCTATGATTGATGAGGTAATATCCCTCCCAGAGTCTGGCAGAGGCAGCTAGTTCCTTACCAACAGTTATTCTGCCCAACTCACTCAAGTTAAGAGAGCACCAGTTTTTAGCTGGGCACAGGATTTCCCAGCTAAAAGTCTACAAGCTCCTTTGTAGCTAGTGAAGTATTGTGTGTGACTTGTGTGAGCTCTTCTTGGAATGTAGGGGTACAACCTGCCCCTCTTCCTTACCTTCATCCTGATGCTTAGAACATGGGTGTGATGGCTGGGGCTCTAGAAGCCGTATTGGACCAGATTACATTCACGTAACCTTGACACAACAGAGGAGAAACCTGGAAGGACTTGAGTCCCTGATAATGTTGGAGCCACCATATAAGTACCTCCCTTGGGCTTTATGTGCAT